TGTATCTTAGGTTATTCTTGTAGTTGCACTTTATGGATTAAGAATATTACGTCCCTTGAAAATAACGATTTTTCTTCTATGAACAAAAACACCTCAATGTTGTATTTTATTTTTCTTGTACACTGAAAGCCTTCGTGCTTACACGCCAAACTTGTTATCTTTGCAGAATTTCGGTCGTTATTTTAAATTCAGATCAAGCCAAAGAATTATTTTGATAAACTCAACCATCCTCAAGATAGGAAAAATTCTGATGCTTTAGCCTGAGCTTCAGAGTCTTTCAGGCTTTCACCCTCTAAACCTAAGATGTGTGTACGACATCTTCACCATGTCAAGCTATAACTAGTTGCATATAATACTAACAATTTACAACAAACTTCTATAATGCAAGAAAGGTGGTTATTGCAGGTATAGACGCAGTTCGTAATAAATTGAAATTGTGAAAATGTCTGCACGAAGGATTTCCCATATAAGTGTGTGCACTTTAGTACGATGGACCTTACACATGGTAAATTAAAAGGTTACAATTATCAACAATCATGGTCATAAAGAACTCTTCCTCAAACCTACCACTTCCGTGATAATAACGAACCTAATTATCTTCTAGCCAATTAGATGTGTTATTAAAAATATCCTCAAGACAGTTATTGATAATTAGCACCAAGTTCACAAACTATTCAATACGTGATAAATTTTATAAATTTACTGATTAGTAAGGATTAGCTCATCAAAACAGAAAAATCTGTACACCTTCCGAGTATTGATGGTAAAACGCGAGCAGTTAATAAATGTTTAGACTATCTGTATATTAACTATCGAGCTAAGGTAGAAAAGCCCCCAAAATGTCAAAAAAAAGGTACAAATTATCGAAAGAAATTGTGATTTTTTTTAAGGTATATTATATTTCCATGACCTTAGGATATTCTGAATAATATGCTAGTGGAAATTGGATTTTGAATTAGGCTGAAAGGTCTGAGAGGTAAATAACTCATCAACAAATCTAACTATCGCGAAGATCGAACCAATCTCAAAATACAGAAAACAAAGAACGGTTGTCTAAAGATCAGAGCAGATATCTATTTTGATAACAGAATATCATATAGATGAACAATCATTTACATCTTTTGATGTTGTGTACAGCCATGTACGTGTAGTCCTTCCAATCATACGCTGTTTATTCAGATTTAGACCTCAGGAACCGTGACATCAGAATGAGAAATGTTAATCTTCCCATTACATGCTAATTTTCATTTTCATAAAAAAATTTCCAGACACAAATTTGTATTTTGTTTAATTTTTGAATTAACTTTATCATAATGTTGGAACTGGATCTTTTGACTTTTGACGGATAGAAATGATCTAAAGAATTACTGGAAGTTGAAGAGTTACTTCCCATATCCTGGAAATCTGATTATTTCAAGAGAGTGCCATCAAATAAGAGATAAGGGGATAAGATAATCACGAAATATAAGATACTAAATGATGAGAAACGCACCCAGTGTTATCGTTTTATGCCAATCATTTCTGACCAGTTTATCATGTTGGTGTCTGGGAAATATGTTTCAGGTTAAGCCGTAACTTGACCCCTCCTACTTTATATTATCAAATGTAATAAAATCTTATAAGCAATGAAATAATTTCTGTGATTTAGATTGACCCCCAGATAAGGATCAAAAAGATATTAAATATGTCTAAGAACATATTATTAAATGGTATCTGGATCTGCGATATCGGCAACACAAAACTTAAGGTGGTTGGTCGAAATTTATATTATTTTTTTCAGGTTTCGCACTAGAAAAGAAACTTTGACTATAGCAGGCATTGGATATTACAGCACCCGCTAATTTCATTACTGTGAATATGAGATCTTATGTCTTCAATAATTATAATCAATTAATTTCATGAGGTTTTTCTTTCTGTAGCGTTACTCGATGTGCAAGAGACAGAAAATCCTACACTCACCCTGTATTAATATCTGTTACTAGAATTAATTTGCTATGGGCAATCTAATATGTGCCATTAAGTTAAACCGTCATAAGGTCAATTTAATGCTATTTTTTTGTTCTGTAAGTTACAAAAACACAAAACAGTTTGTGGTTTACCTACATAATGTATGGAGATAATATGTTGCCAAACTTTAATCACGTGACCAAAGTGCAATTTCAAATTTATTTTTTATGAAAATAACGAATAGAAAACGGTACAAATCTAGTTCTTACCTGAATTTCGTCAATGGTTTGTCATCGATTTTCTTCTATGGTTTACTTTAACACGTGTCTTCTATGTTTAGTCATATTATTAACAAAGAAATAAAATAAAACGATTTCAGCAAACTAATGGTAAATACAAACATAAAATTCACCCACGAATTCACAGGTGTACTATTTATCTTCTTTCAGTTAAGGTTTTCTGGTGCACGTTGATATTTCCCCATATTCCTGAAGCTTGTTTGATTACTTATCCGTATTGATAAGCATGAAATAAACAATTAATGCAAATGAAGTCAATTACATTTCTAAACTTCATTCATATCAGACAAGTTAAATCTCGCCTGGTTTTAGATAGGAGATTTATCTCCCTTGTAAGTTAATTATCTGAAGAAACATTACAGCATATCAGTTAATGATTTGCGATTGGAGATATAAAATATCGACATAGTTCGTTCTATTCAAAATACCATAGTCTCATTCTTTGTATTTTCAAATATGTAGAAACAGGCCAAGTTAAAGCGACTGTGTATGATATACCAGTACATTCGAATCACATTACATGATGGCACGAGGATAATAAGAGTAGGTCTAAAAATGTTTTCGTCACATATGGTGGACATCACTCGAACAAGGTAATAATATGCTGAAAATCATGCTGCAAACGAAACGAAACGAATGCGATACGTTTGAATTAATTAAACGTAGAAAACGTCTAAATTCGAACTCGTTCTTCATAAAGTAATGTGTGTTACCTACGATACGTCTTGTAACCTTCTATGTGGTAGAATTTCTTGAAATTGAGCAAATGATGGAGATAGTCATACGAACACAGGATAAGTCTCTTTAAGTACTTTGTAAGAAATGTAATTGTGTGTTAATAACAATGGGCTATTGAACAGCATAAATGACAAGTCAGATCTTCAATACAAATAGAATATCATTAACACTAGCCTATTGTTACTGAACAGGTACAAAGTTATAACAAGACACACTTTATAACTCTCTTAAAACGCAGATCAACATAATTTTGTGTGATAAACTTTTCGGAATGGAATGAAGATAATTCTACTATGATCTGTATCTTTGAGAATATTTTTCTTGAAATCAATCAACAGAGGCTATTTAAGTCATAATAGTTTTGGAAACGAAATTATTTTTAACCAATACCTACCAGTGTTTCATTTGGTAGTACATAGGTCTATTACAGTGGCACAACTACCACAGGGACCGGTTGAACCAAGTCTACGGGTCCACATCCTAAAAAGGGACTCCTCACCCCCAGGAAAATTTAAAAAGAATGCAGGTGAGCATATGTTAAAAAAAAAAAATGTCAAGGGCCCCCACTCATCTAGTTCAGCCACTGGTCTATTAGTATTATAACCACGTCACATTAGAGGAACATACATGTATGTCTCAACGTCACACAGGTACATTAGCGACGCATACCTCAATTATAAAATATATGGTACGATATGTGAATATATGTTCCAATTGTACACAACATTGGTAATACATTCATCAATTATAAACAATGTTATATTGGTAAGAAATTCATTATAGAATATATCTCATTTATAAACAATGTTACATTGGTAATGCATGTTCAATTATAAACAATGTTACATTGAAAGAACGTATCTCATTATTGAATAGAAGTACAGATTGAATGGTAATATCTTTGTAATTAGTTAGGTTATTTATTCAATAAAAGTGTTTGATTGTCAGTTAATTTTAGTTTTTATCTTATTTTCATTATCCGAACAATAAATGCTGGAGGCAGCCTCTTATTAACGGTTGTGACCTATATTTCTGTAATAGAATCTAAAGATGTCGTTTTTCAGCTTAGATTGGTAAGAGAAAATGGTAATATCTCACCCAAATTACAATTTTTGCGCCTAAAAGTTCTGCCTTGAATTTTTTTCCTCGTTAACTTCGGTATCGGATCATCCTAAAGATATGCAAGTATTTAAATAATAACCTCTATATGGAAAATGATCACCAAATGCGTACTAAAGCGTACCGAAACCTGAATTTGTTAATTTAATTTTGTCACAATTGTGAGTATGTGAAACACTTTGAGCTAGTCAAAGCCATCTAGAAACTTCCTTTCATTTTAGCCCGACTAAATTATTTTGTCAATGCTTTATAACTACTATTAAATTACTTAGTCATAGAAAATAATAGAGTAAGATATTTTATATAGGTGTAATTTGTAGTGAAAGGAATTCCAGGTGTACAAGTCCGGTTCACTTGACGACTAACAAGTATTAACAGGCATGTTCATTCAATATGGTGTGATAATAAATAATATTTTCTGTTCGTAAAATACGACGAGACTCAGAATTTTAAGATAATTACAGATTGCGAAGGTAATTGACGATCAGTATTAATGGCATGTTGGTTTTAAGCCATATTTTTTCTATATACTACTGTATTGAAGTCAATGTATCTTTAATGGATTCTTCCAATGCTATTCACTGCGTTAACGAGTTAAGTTAAGAAAATCTATTTCACTTTCCTTTCGTTTGACTTATCGATATTGTGATATAATTTATAGAGGTGGACGATATTGGCAGTCAACAAGATATTTATATTATTTTCTCATCGAAGCACACATTTGGTTGAACTAACGAGGAACTATCTACCATGAAACATTAAAATTGGGAGATAATTTTTTGCGACTTGATTCAATGAGGAATCAATACAATGGAAACGGACGTTTTAAAGAAATATGGTCGATGGTTAGTGGTGGTATTGGTGTTTATTACACAGTTGAAAGCTGAAGATTCAGTTTTACCGGATGAACAACGATTATTACATAAATTATTCTCTAATTATGACACCAGTGTTCGGCCCGTTTTCAATTCATCACATCGTGTAGTTGTATCGTTTAATTACAATCTTATTCAAGTCATGGATATGGTAAGTACATTGGTTTATTTATTATTTTGAAATTCCTGGCTAATACAGATCAGATTGTGGTACCAGTTGTTTGCAGGTTATATACAGATTTTTTTCTCTTAGATATAGTTTGATTTATAAATTTATTAGCCATGAGGTTCGGAATGGTGAAGACTCCCTGCCTCGCCAGACAGATCCACACCAATTTATATATTGGTTTAATGTCAAAATCCGGTTAATAAAATATATTATTGAAATACTCTGAATTAGCTCTGATTGAACGTAAATTAAGATGTTGAATGAATGAAAGGTCTAAAACTTGACTTGGACTGGAATGATTTAGGACTACTCAAACTCGTATGTACCTGACTGACTCCAATTGCCTCATATCTTATCATTTTGTTGACGGTTGCTGGTAATGGTTATTGGAGAGGTTTTTTGAACTGTAATACCGAGATTATAATCTGAAAGACAATTTGTACCTAAACTTTATATGTTATGTTAATGACTAATTCTACATAGTTTGCACGTAATCAATCCAGATATGCGTCCAACATGGTAATTGTGCATATATCAACATCGGTTACAGAAATAATGATGATTTGATTATAGATCAAACTACTTACTTGTGATGGTAAAAAAAGCCATGCTGGTAACAAACATGTAAAATATCAAAATATTTCATTTTAAACCTATATCCTGTGGCACGAAACTTAATAAGATCATTTTCAAATAAAAACTAATTTCACATCAACCGCGAAGCTTTCAATTAAATCTTTTTCAGAATTAATGTAAATTTACATGATTTCCTAGGGAAAGTGGTACAGATGAGTTCAATTTAATCATACATTATTATTGTAACAGTAGTGGGGTCTATACGAATGACGATATGTACCATTTTGAGATGTTTTGTGTTTAAAAATGATAATTCATTCATAGAATAATTTCATAGGCAATTTCGTGAATCAAAAGTCATTTTCAAAGAATGGCAAAATCGGGAGTAAAAATTGTATAGTAGTTGTCTCATCCAAAAAGATCCAATCAGGTGTTTCGAAAAGAGTAATAAATGACTTTAACGAGTTGGATGTTGTTCTTGAATTTTGTGAGATATTTTTTCTAAGATATTTTAGTAAGTTATGAGGACCCACGAGTCGATTTTTAATTCATGGTCGTACTCATAGTCCACTTCATTGTAACTAGAAGAGAGAATATTGAGATTATGTTATATTTACAATCAAGACACAGACATTTAATACCCATGAGACACATAACACTTTATCACCGTTCAACCACTACCATTGGTCTTAATATCGCAGCTCTAATGTCATTTATTTTAGTTTTAACTAACTCATTGCTATTAAAAGATAATTCCTTTGCACGCATCCTGATAGAAAGTACTACCTTATTACAGTTCAAAGAAATTCCGAAATCATTTGACGATTATCTCTGCTTGAAAATTTATCAGAGTATGTTCAGATTTTTGGCACATTCTATTAAATCTATAAACGTTATAGTGAAAAATAAAGATAGTATTTGTCTTAATAATTGCTTCACTAACTTTTTGATTTTTCTGACGTCATAACATCGGCAAAAGCTGCACACGACAACCTAGACGACTATGGTACATTTTAATTTGATTGTAGAGTATAGCATTGTGAAAAGTGATACGGATTCTAAAGACTTGATCCTTGTCAACTGCTATTGACTATATTGAAGGAGGACCAGACGATGGTTTTAAATATGAAAAGTGTAACTGGTATTTCAAATTAGGTTGGTAAGGCAAATGTTATTAGGCATTGACATTTTTAGATCTAGCACATTTGTGAATTTAAGGTAGATAATCGCTGTATTAGGCCTAAGAAATAATGAAACAAGCAATTTCAGACATGGTGATGTGCTTTAACTGTCGAATGCCAAATTATTTGATATTGTCTTGCATATGACATAACACATACATATTGATAAACGGGCATACATTAATATGAAATTGTAGTTTGTTGAGTTTTGTCGGAAATATCATGAGTCATGAGTGAAGCTATCTTGTCGACTTGAATACCCTTGCGTGATGAAACCCTGTAGTGATGATGAAAATCAAATTTTGGTGGAACATTATGTACATTAAATCCGGAGGTAATTTGCCATTGATGTGTGCATCGTTGTTTACTGAAAAATAATCCTTCTTTAAAATGGCTTTATATATTTTTTCTGGCAGATTGATTCATGGCTGTCAAAGGATTAAAAATTCCATGTTAGTCTCGAAGTATGATTTAATGACTAGTATTTTTTTTATTATGATGTAAAAGATTATGGTATGATTAATGTCTGATATTTTATTTTGACCTTCTCAACAATCTCTACAGGGAATTAATTGTGAAACGATTATAGTAAGAGTATCAAATGCTTTGATCAGAAGCTTTAGGTGGGAAAAAGAAAGGCACAACTTCTTTATTCAATGATTATGTTATGTTTGTTACTTCTCAATCCAATTTTACTTGAAAGTTAAAATATCCTATTTGTTATATAATAGTAAAGTTAGTATCAATTTAATCAAAATTAAGCAGCGTATTATGGCATAATATGTACTATACTACTACTATAAAAGTGTCGACAAAATATTGATCTAATAAAATCAAAATTGTAGTTAAGAAATCTCATTATCAAATAGATATTCATCTAAATTCTATATTCCCGAAATGTTTAGATAAAATTGCAGGTTTCTTAGAATAAAAGCCGTCTTTGTATCTCCTCTCTATTGAGAACGTTCAACGATTCTAATAACGATTAAGCTTTGGCTTTTTTCTTTTTTAGATGGTTTGAGCTTTCTATACTATAGTCTTTTCAACAATTTACCTTGGAGGACAACTTCAAGTTCTCACCAATAAATATGCATCAGTTTTTGTTCTTTTCCATCTTGGATATTTGCATGGAAATTTGATATGAATTTATTTTAATGGGCATTCTATATTGTCTACCCATTTTTATAAGTAAAACAATATCTCTAATCACCAATATCCCTATATTCGCTTTTGTTCAATTGCCTAAAATAAAAGGGTAGTGAATTTTTGCTTGACTGCTATTGAGTTCGATTTGGAACATTTATATTGCTGACCATATCGTCGAATGTACAAATATTGTTATATAGTAACTGGTCAAATAGTGTAGTTTGATATTTAACGTAATCATCACACTGGACTAATTTTGAATAAACAAATATGAACCCAACTGATTTGTCTGTCTGTTATTTCAGGGATCGATTTTCTCTTTGGATTTTCTTCGAGAATTTCAACAGCTACTAGATAGATAACTACATCTTAAAGTATAAGATTTTTTTACATCAACAGATCAATGATAAATTAAGTAGAATTTCACCTATAATTTGACATTTAATTAAGGAATATTCTATTATATACCACATGGGATATATTATATTATATAAACGTTTGTTTATAACGCAGTCCGATACAAAGTAGTAGATCCTCGATCTACATAGCTCTTACTGATAGTGTATACTGCTTTTTAAGAAGTTTTACTGCTTTTTTGTTTGTTGAAGGATAGAGTTTTTGTTTCTGGTATTCCAAATATGCTTCTGAAAAAATGGTTATTTTTGTTAGTAATTGTTTTGATTTAAAAATTCATTATTTAGCCACTTTATAAAGACTCAGTTATAATTTCTGACAGCTGGTAGTTGGCGTATGTTACATTGCCTGGCAAGCTATCTTTCCATTAGTTTTTATTTTTAGTCTAGCCACTTCACAGAAGGGTCTACAATCGTCAAAATCACCTTTTGACAGAACCTGATGATAATTGCTTTAACCAATCAAATTCAACTGGGTTTAAGATGTTTCCTTTTCAACGAAACATGTGCCATGGTTATTCGGTAAGGAAGGAATTGTGTTCTCTTACAGATGCTTCTTTATCATGAACAGTAGTCAATGATTATGTAAGATCACACAGAAGCTCTTTCTTTTGCTCCGGGGAAAAGTTTCTGGTGTTATTAATGCACGAAGCTTTTTTCTATTGGAAATTCGAACTGGTATAATGCATCCCAACAGAACAATGATAGTGTGCAAAGAATATTTTAAAAATATTGAATTCAAGCATTTCTATATCTGTCTTGTATTACACAAGAAACACTAATTTATTCTGATGTTTCTAGACATTAACCAAGTTTAATAACCATAGAGAGTCGGTCTGTCGGCAAGATGATATAAAATTTTCATTTATTCAGAATTATGCAAGTTAAACACAATTACAGTTGAAAGGATATTATTTAATACTGATATATTTTTGTTTCAGTGAGACAAAACATTTGTTTTCTTCAGAAATATTCTTTAAAATAGAAAATTTCAGAAGAAAGGAATCAACCTCATCCAGATCATTTTCTTTCACCATCAGCGCAATTTAGAATGCTTTGTCTTGCTCTCTGATAACTTAACTACTTGGGAAATTGACAAAATTTGGATCAAATACAAGGAATGTTGATAAAATATAACTGTCATATGTAATGTAATCATAGTCGTAATAAGGACCTGGAAATAAGCTAATAGAGAAATGATTTTGAAAATGTGATTGTTTATGAAAAATTGTAACCAAATGAAGTTCGTAAAACTACTAATTAATACCTCTTATATATAATTAACACAAATTTAATAATTTGTTGATCACTGGGCGAAAGGATTTATTTACAATTTCTGCATATATGAAGTTTGAACTCTGTCACCTTTGAGATAGGTATACAATTCTATAAAAACAACACAACACAGACCTACTTTTAATTCATTAATTTGTCGGCTTAATAGTTTTGTAAGCTAGATCGTAGAACCAATGATTGAAAAATGTCTCACAAACTTCACAAAACTGAAATTGTGCCTCACCGACATTTTCTAATTATTCCTGACGATTCTGTATTTTCTCATTTCAGTCTCGCCAATATCTCGGTTTAAAACAATCTATAGCACCGTGCCAATTTCATATCTTTCAAACAATTACAATTGTTAATTTAGAACGAAAGTGTGGAGCTGGTTTCAATCATTTAACTTATTGTAACGTGTCGTCTGATCAAACTCACTCAATTTGATTCGAGCTTGCAACCTACAGGCAATATCTGACATCATTGTCATCTTTCTAAACACACCATTTATAACAATGGCCCAAATAGTAAGTTTTAATTGTACACTTCACGTATTGTACGATTATAATTATTATCATTAAAATTAAATTAAAATTTTTCGAAATCGGCAAAGATTTGACCTTATCCGATGCATAATTTGACATGTAAACGATTGGCCATCAAATGCTCCACAATTTCCAGGCTTCCTCCTTGAAAAGAAAGTGGCAATCCAGTTTAGGTGTTTGATTTTCTTTATGCATTGCAAATTATTGAAAATGAACTTATAGTACCGAAGATTATCTGGATATTAAATGCCATCGAGTTCATATTAAGATAACAGATTAATTAAAAGAGGGTGGTATCTATTAAGTTCATTTATTAGTTACCGATATAAAGGTCCTCGTTATAAGTCTTTGTATCAGAATAAATACCAAGAAATATAACATGGATATAATGGTGACCATCTGCCGCTCGTCAATCACCAATTTCATTACATTCAGTACACGTTATTAAAACAATTTATTACTAAATAGTGAAAACATTATATGGTGGTTCTTCCACCGATTATTTGTAGTCATTTTCATTAAGATAGGCTCGGGTCGACTGGCGATTCAAACAATCTACATTGGATTTGAGAGAAACATGAGCGACACATTAGGGAAACGCTCGATAAATTGACTGCTGGTAAATGTGACTAACTGGATGATCACAGCTCTCGAAAGCTCAGATCAACGCAAATATCATTTTCCTTTTTGCTCAAAGGTTGAAAAGAACAACTAATTCGTGGCAACTGCAATATCTCAGTAGACAGTGCGCTCCGACACAGTTTATATCAGAAAAGGTTCTGCTCTCAGATACTCAGTCGATCTGACTCCCATAATGGTGTCTTTCAATCTATGAAATTCATGTACATTTCTCGATGAAAATTAAGTTTGAATCGGCTGAAATATTTCCAAGGATGATAATAATTATTTGATTTCATTTTGCTAATACTATAGGAAACCTGTGATGAAGTGTGATACAGTTTGTTGAATGACGTTTATTTTTTCTTTTAAAATACTCAACAGGGGAATTGCGTGGAATTAGTTTCAGCTTTGCATTGTTACAATGAAACTAATGATTGACATTGCACTAGAAGATTCCGTGGTGATTCAACACATAAGAAGATAAAGACGCGTGATATTTCACTTTTAAATAAACCAGACCAATAATTAATCCTATGTTTTTATTGTCATTTCAGGACGAGAAGAATCAAATCCTGACATTAAATGCCTGGCTGGAATGGGTAAGATTTTAATTCTAGATTCTGATCAATCTCTAGCTAATCGATAATCAATTATTAGGGAGATTTAGAAAACATTTGTTTTATCACCAACTATTATGGTAAAGAGACGTGAATACAGCCTTCCTTCCTTTATTTACATAAATCTTCATTTCAATAGATTAACTTTTGATGTATGTTCTATGTCAACAGTCTTGGTCGATCTTTCAATCCATTTTTTTCTTTTTTAATACCTTGCTCTGTACCGTATACGACACTGAGAATACAAATATGAACTACTGAATATGAATATGACAAATGTAGCTTGATCATTTCATGGGTACGAGGCTAGAAGCAAATTGTCTCCCCAGCAAGCTTTATGGTTCGGGTTACCTTTCTCTCGGGACAATATATGGTTATTTAAATATTATTTTGTGGCTATTCCAGAAGACTTGGGTCAAATTCACAGACGCTCTTCTCATCTTATAAGCATGACTAGCAGAGAATGGTACTGCCAATGTCATCAATATCAATATCTATAATAAGTAATCCGTGGTAAAATTTGATATTGTCTGTTTGTTAATTGTCTGGTAGCCGTTTCCATCAGTAACCTTTACAATTTTTACTTTTATATTCTAACAGTCTTGGAAAGATGAAAGAATAAAATGGGACCCTGCGGAGTTTAATGGTTTAACAGTATTTAGAGTTCCATCTAAAAAACTTTGGCTTCCAGATATCGTTCTATATAACAAGTAAGTTTGAACTTAGAATTAACAATGTACATCTTAGAGAGCTGGATCTTTTATTACTTCCCTCCCCAACAAGTGGACGGCCATAAAATAGATTCGAAAAGATTTTTCAGCCTTTGTGTAGGAGTATCAAGGATAATAATGGATTCTATTTGCAAAATGGAGCAAATTACATAACCTCTAAATGATCCATAAACTCAAACTTCCTAAAAGTATATGCCTTATTTCATGCTCTTACAAATATATAATGTATATTCTATTATGGCTGAAAATTTGTCTTGTAGTCTACCTCCAGCAAACTAAGTTTCTCAAGTTGTTGTCTTAGATTAGTTACGTCCCCTTATCAATGGCTTTTATCATTAAAGCCTATGTTATATTACAGTGCCGATGATTACACCACTGGTTTTATGAAAGTGAACGTGATGTTACTAAATGACGGTACTGTGATGTGGTCACCACCAGCTCGCCTTAGAAGTTCTTGTCACATCGACATTACTTACTTCCCTTTTGATAGCCAATTTTGTAGCCAGAAATTTGGATCGTGGTCATACAGCCAGAGTCAAGTTGATCTAGTTAATACTTCGGAAGTGTTGGAAGTCAGTAACTATATTTCTAACGGTGAATGGACATTATTTAAATATAAATTGAAGAGAAATGAAGTGGTTTATCCAATAAGTGACGAGGTATTCCCCGATGTGACTATCAGTATCATGATTTATAGACGTATATTATACTATGTACTCAACATTCTACTGCCTTGTTTCTGGTTGAACATTCTCAGTGTATTGACATTCTGTTTACCACCAGATGCCGGAGAAAAGCTCACTCTCAGTATTACTGTTCTATTGTCTTATTCTGTTTTTATGTTGCTGGTTGCTGAAAGTATGCCGCCCACGTCAGAATCTGTACCATTAATCGGTAGGTAGTAAAAGATAGTTAATTAATAATTTAAATGGGTTCGATAACTGATATCAACTTGGGGTACTTTTACTTCTTAGTGGTACCAATGATATAACTGGTACTCGAGAAGCCTTAGAAAATTGTGACAGCGCAATGTTACATAATAATCTGGGGGTGATTCAGTAGTCGATTGTACTAAAATTCGTGGTTTTAGAAGAGACCATGAATAGATAGTAGAGGTGTTCTAATGACTCAGAAAAGTACCAGTTTGTCTCACATGTCCATAATTAATTCTTGGTTAGCTAAAAAAGAAGAGAATTACCAGCAGAATTCCAATGAGTGACCGATCAAGAAAGGTCAAAAAGTCTTTTTGTTTATCCAGACTGTACATACAAGGACACTTATGATTTGCTTAAACTTTTAATTCCAGGCAATATTAGAACATAATGATATGATTAAGAAACATGATAAATAGTTTGCTTAATTTGACATTAAAAAATAAGGAAACCCATCTTTAAGCTAATAAATGGCGAACGTAAGGTCTTTCACTCTCGGAAACAACCAATCAAATTACATAATCCTCAAAAAGTTTCGATTTCAAAATCTCATATTTTCACTTAATCAAAAAGTTAGAGACGAGTAATTGGGTAAGGCAATTCTTTACTATGTGAAATGATAAATACAATTGAAAGTGCAAACTCCCATCCCCCATAGGAATGCCATCAGTGGTTCTTTAACTGAAAAATGAAAGGCGAATTATGTTTTGGTTCAACAATTTATTTTTTTACTTTACGATACATATCATAAATCACTATGCGGTAGAAGTGGTTCTGTTTATGGGTACCAGGAGATAAGCGAACCTGGGCATTTAATACGGCAAAGTGTAGATTGTATTTTACGTGTATTTTGATATTTAATAGAATGATGTATGTTTTTTTTTTGTAGAAGTTTACCTGACATTATCCATGGCGATGTCTTCCGTATCAGTTATAATGACAGTTATGGTAATGAAACTACATCACAGTCCTCCCAATGTACAAGAAGTGCCTTCCTGGGTTCGATATTTTATCCTGGGATTTCTTGGAAGGATTATTCATTGTAAATGTATTTCTCTTCCTGGTAAAAAGAAGCGACCAACTCCGCGAATCATGATCACTTCCAGTACTAATAAAGATACGGAAGTGACATCAAGCCTTCTAAATGATCTACCAGCTCGAGTTCGAACTTCTTATTCCTCTGATACTTCCAAACCAGACGACAATCACAGTTTTGACTTCCGGTCAAGTAAAGGACGAAGTGTCTCGAATCAAGAAAACAACTCGGACCATCGTTCAAATATTTATGAACGTTCGAGTGCGGGTATGGAAGAACTGTTGAAGTATTTGAAATTAATTGTTGAGAAAAGTGATAAGGAAGAAGAAGATAATGATCTTCAAGATGAATGGAAACAAGTTGCCTTAGTAGTTGATCGTGCCATGTTTTATTTATTTTTATTTATTACCTTATTTTCTACATTAATGGTATTGGTGATTGTACCTGCTATTTCCTATGTAAGATCTGGTGGTAAATAAACAAAATAAAACTTTTGAATATATCATTTTTGTAAATAAAATTCAAGATTACATCTATTTCTGTTTCTTTTTTATTGTCATGCCTACGATTTTACAGCTCAATATAAAGGAAATAATAGCCTATGGAAATACATCAATAAGTAGTTCTGTTGATTCTGAATTGCTGTGAGATTATTAATTGTCAATAGTAACTAGTGTTTTTTTTTCAATCTCTAACAGTGAGCAGGATAAGTTGATCATTAATTTATTCAGTAAAATAATAAAAACGTGACTGTAAATTCTATGAGTTCCTTTTAGATCGACGTGTGACAAGTGTTGTTATGTAGCTAAAGACACAACCAGGAGCAGTCAAACTAACTTGGTACCAATTGCCGAGTGCATGATCATTCAGGGTATAACTGGACATGTATAGAACGTGTGCCAATGCTTTTGGCCATTGAGGGCCTCCAAATGGGACAAGAAAAATATGCTAGATAAAAATATACACAGGTATCACAGTGTATTAGATACATCAAACTAGGAAAAATGGTTCACGCCAGACACTGTTTGCTGCATTGGCTCTCCAGATACTCCAAAAGGGTCTACAATTTCGTAATCCTAAATATAAAAAAAATGTCAAACCCACCCTAACTTCAAATGGCTATAACTTTGGGTATTTTTACCTGAGAGACAGAAAATTATCTAAATAATTCTATTTTGAAACCCTGTAAAACTCGCCAACACAATCTGCTATTATTGGGCGTCCTTTTTATTACGTAAGAACCACTAATTTTCTTATGGAATTTCGTAAGAGTGTACAAATGTCTTTGACGGGGCACTATGTCTGGCTTAAGGTAATCGATTTGTTCTGCTTGAATGAAATCTTGAAGTAGATATTTCAAAATATTTGTAATTAACGTGGTGGTTTCCATGTAAATAGGATTTTGTATAGGAGTATACTAATCAAGATTACTTAATTGTGCTTCAGCTTCATTAACATAATCCTGCCTATTCAAGATTACACATCAACTACCCTTATCACTTTTCTTGATAACATTTTTAGAGCGTTTTCCAGTAAACCTATATCTCCAGTTCGAGTTCAGTTCGACTTTCGTTAGCATTCCGCGACCCTGCCTCGGGATCCTGGTCGTCTTTCCATGTTATGCTCACCCAATTTGCCACCTCCATGACCCTCTCAAAACCAACAACACCTGAGTTGGATACGAGGGAGGGAATCATTCGCTCACATACCGTCTCCGACAAACATGGGTACGAGCTAATCCACTTCACTGGTTGATTACTCTAGCAGGAGCAATGGGGCAACTAAACCTCGTACCAACATATACGTCCACCGGTCATCTCGGAGACTCAGAGAATGAGTTATCACGTCAATAAACCGTTCTTCTAAGGAACACGGACATAGATTTGCAGATCCGTACGTCGCTTCTAATCGCCCCCTGTTCCAACACACACCGGAAATATTCCTATACGAACCCAACCAACCTACTCAAATACCCACAAACCTTTTAAAAGACTTCTTCCTCCATAAAATTATTTCCATTTAGAATTGGTCCTATCATCGAAGCCACTCATGTGCCACCAGGCTGGGCAAAAATCTGAAATATGGAAAGAACACTCTTTGATAATAAAGCGACAAGATGAACGAACGTCTACATACATATATGAGCAATAGAAATTTTAATCCGGAGAGCGCCAGTTTCTGATTCCTTTTTGGTTGTCGAAAGACCTATGTTTCTCGAAGAGGCTTCGGTTAATAAGTGACCTAACTAACTGTGGGTTTTTCAATGAATAAAGACAATATAAGCAACAATTTCATACCTTATAACAGTGAAAGTTTCTCCCATTGAGGTACTTTAGCCTTCAACCTCTTCATACAACAATGAACTCCTTGATTACATACAGTAGTTTTTATTTCTTAACCCTGATTTCGGCTCACGTCCATGTTGGGATTTAAGACAATACATGTATGTTGAGAATTTGTTCGATTGGTCGTACTTTCTATCCCTGTAGAGGCAGGCCTTAATTACTTGACAAATCGAACGTACCCAATCAAGAATGTTCTGACTAGAAAGAACTGTTCATCATTCATTATAACAATAGGTTGTACTACACTGAGCACAATTCATCCCTAATAGGATTAAAGAAAATATATTCTCCCTGAATGAAATTTTGTAAATATCCAGACAAGTGCAAGGCGAAGACAAAAAAAAATTTTTCAACGTTTGTTCTACTTAAATTCGTACAGTAGTTTTTTAACAGCTTCAAAAAATCGTAACGGACTTACGTAAACATTTGTTTTGGCGTAAAAAAACTTAAACAACTAAAGCATTTTAGTTAAAACTTTCAGATACTTTTAAGGGCACATTTCTCTAGATATTTGTGTACAGTTTTCACAAACATTTTACGTCCTGTTAGTGGAAGGTCCCTTGAACGCAGGGGTGGGCAACCTACGGCCCACCAGTAATGTTTTTGCGGCCCGCAAGATGTCTAAAAAAAAAACCTATGTAAATAGATGAGGATCGACAATTGAACGCTGTTACTACGTTGGTACAGTTACCTTGTCAGCTTTACTTGTAAGGATTGGGGATGTGGGTGTGTGTAGGTTAACCTAACCTAACCCTAACCCAGTTGTTAGTCCTCAACCCAACCCTAAAGTTAGTCACAATAGTAGCTTATAACAGTTGCTAGTCCTCAACCTAACCCTAAAGTTAGTTACAATAACAGGTTATATATTTAGAACAGTTGCTAGTCCTCGACCTAACCCTAAAGTTAGTCACAATAACAGGTTATGTATTTAGAACAGTTGCTAGTCCTCAACCTAACCCTAAAGTTAGTCACAATAACAGGTTATATATTTAGAACAGTTGCTAGTCCTCAACCTAACCCTAAAGTTAGTTACAATAACAGGTTATATATTTAGAACAGTTGCTAGTCCTCAACCTAACCCTAAAGTTAGTTACAATAACAGGTTATATATTTAGAACAGTTGCTAGTCCTCGACCTAACCCTAAAGTTAGTCACAATAACAGGTTATATATTTAGAACAGTTGCTAGTCCTCAACCTAACCCTAAAGTTAGTTACAATAACAGGTTATATATTTAGAACAGTTTCTAGTCCTCAACCTAACCCTAAAGTTAGTCACAATAACAGGTTATATATTTAGAACAGTTGCTAGTCCTCAACCTGACCCTAAAGTTAGTTACAATAACAGGTTATATATTTAGAACAGTTGCTAGTCCTCAACCTAACCCTAAAGTTAGTTACAATAACAGGTTATATATTTAGAACAGTTGCTAGTCCTCAACCTAACCCTAAAGTTAGTTACAATAACAGGTTATATATTTAGAACAGTTGCTAGTCCTCAACCTAAAGTTAGTTACAATAGTAGTTTATATATATAGAACAGTTGCGAGCCCTCAACCTAACCCTAAAAGTAGTCCCAATTGAGCGTATAGAAATTGACTTGCCCGAAGATGAAACTACCAAATTCCGTCAATCTAGGGAAGCCCATTGGATTGAGACATTGAATACAGCAAGACCTATAGGACTAAATATTCATCATAATGTAGGCATAGCACCCTTTGTTGTCCCGTTTAATACAACCAGCAATCGAGCAAGCAAGATAGTTCATGCCCACTATAAGAGCCTTCAAGAGAAATTCCCCCATGTCTATAAGCAGAAAATGATAGTTGCATATTCAAAAATAAGAACTTAAATGATAATATTGTTCATAGTAAACTAAAAACAATCAGTACAAAACAGATACTATACTTTTTCTAATTTCAGATCAGAATAAGAACAGAAGAAAACCCAATATCAAGACCCTTAATCCTAATTTCTAAATAAAGTGTCTGCTCCACCCTAGGCCTGTACATTTGGGAGAATCAAACCCTCCCTTCCCCGAAATCAAAAGGTAGGTAGTCACAGTAGTCACTAGAGGTTAAACCTACACGTATGTAATAGCTAGCTATTCTCAAAAATAATCGACACCAATTAAAACTTTCTAAAATACTACAATTTTGGTTAGCTGAAAATAGAGCTGATTATAGCAGACTTAGAATAATTTAGTTGAAAATAGACTTGAAAATAGAATAGTTTCTGGAGTTCAACTAATAATATTTTAAAGCTAACTCAGTTAATTGACCTAGTAGGAGATACATAGCATAATATATCATAAATATTTTCGGGAATAATTTACGACGTTTTTGAAAATTTGCATGCTGCACATTTTAATCTTTAAGAAATTATTCATTATCATTACTATTATGTTATTTAGTAAAACTATGAAGAGTTTCGGACTACAAGAATATGAAGTGTCTGGAGGTTAGGGACTATATCAATACTCTTTAGTAAAGGAGGTGAGGAAATCAATGTAAGTAAAATCGAGAATGGAAGAGCAGATGAAATTTCTACACGATAAGCATGTCAAATTTTTTCAGCGAATTCTACAGATTTTACCAAGCAGATATGCCACCCTTGACTCTAATAGGTATGTTGTACAGAGTGACATATGATTTGTTTTCAGTATTTCACAGCTCACCGTCAAAATTTGGGCCTCCTATCAGTATTAGAGTTCACAGCTCACTGCTGCCTCCATATCAATGTGTGTTCAGAATTAGGTACGCTAAAAAATGTTTGGTCAAAAGTACAGTGAATCTGTCCCTTTAAGGGTAGTTTTGTTTGTCAACAGATGTTGATGATACTGGTAGAGTTCTATACATAGCAGGTTTCTGTTTCAATTTTACAATATAATTAAACATGACAGGTTCCATAGTTCATAAAGTTGTTATTGTTACGGTATGAAAGTTCTTATGTCCTGTTATTAGTTTTTATTACTAATAAAGTATCATTGTAATATTGTTTCAGAATGACCATTGCCTTCTTTGCCTTATCTGGAATAGATGTATTAGATAGTTTAAATGTATTGGATAAAGATAGAGATAATATTATTGAATGGATATATTCTTTACAAGTTCTACCAAATCAGACAGGTACATCAGATCCTATGTTCTACTAATCAATTGATTTTTGTTCATGTCAGCTGAAATATATTATATATCAATTTTTGTGGGATATGTTTGGCATTCAAAAGCATCAAAACATGATGTTTCAAATTCACTGCTTTTGAATATTCAATTATACCTCTTATTGTGACATAATGCTTTCATTCAGAAAAAATACTTATTAAATAACCTTATGCCACAGGATATATAAAGATTTTTCAAGAACAGTTAGAACTGTAAGCACTTGCCTCAAAATTGTTTAAAGATGGGTTCCCTTATTTTCATTATGAAAATGAATATGCTGATACTTATATGAATAGACAGTATATACATGGACATTTATGTTTGGTTTAAACTCTTAATTATGTAATAAGAACATAATGATATGATTAAGAATACATGATAATTCATTAGATAAAACGATTAATCAAATGGTTTGCTAAATTGACACTAAAAAATAAGGAAACCCATCTTTAAGGGTACGATATTCATAAAAATAAATTTTTACTTTTGCGTTCTATAACTTATTGAATAAAAAAGATAATAATATATTATGACTATTCAAATCTTTAGCAAGTATTGATATATATTTTGCTTAAGGCAGATACAAGAAAGATTGATTGTGTTAATCATATTAGAGGTTTAGTGGTAATCTGTGATAATATCTCACGACATGTGTCAGAAATACCTTTGATGTGATTAATAGAACTGCTATTGGTTCACTTTGATACAGCTTTCCATTATATCCCAATGCAATAGTCATGAATATTCAAGGGAACTTATTAACACCTAAGTTTCATAACCATTCTGATTAGAATGAGACCAAACTTTCCTTCCATTGTTTTTATTAGCTTTTATTTTTGATATAGCCACTTGAGTTAGATTCTAACTACGACGACACCCCTCTTGAACGTTCTTCAAATTAACCTTTTGACTGAAAAAACGATGAGGTCTCCTTTATCCAATCAAATTTCTAACATTTGGCATTTTGTGATGTGTTTCAGGTAAGGCCAAAAGGTCAATTTGACAAACAATCTTTAGACCCTAACTGAAGTGACTGTTTTAAAGATGAAGCTAATAAATATACTGAACGAAAGTTTGATTTAATCTTAATTAATAACATACATAATATTTGCTTTTTAAAACTTAAATCACTTAGAATATAAACATAATCGATTATTCCTATTTTTTCTCCATTATATTGCATATCTCCAAAAGATAAATAATACTACGTTTGATTAAAAAGAATCTTTCATATTTTGCAGAATCTAATTTACATCGTTGTGGGTTTAGAGGGTCCCCAGCTATTGGAAGTTTTTATGACACAGAAAAGGTAGGTATCAGATGTCAGGTTAAGATGGAACTGCTTTTACTAACCCACAAACATAATTCTGTCAGACAATGTGGGAATGTACCATTCTGTTGACTATATAGATATATTCGAGGCCCAATTATACTTACTAAAATGCTGATTTGCCCTTCATATTTGGTCTCTGCTGCCTAGCTAACATTAATCCTTACATAAAAAAAATATTATATTAGATTTTTTAGGAGCAAGCACTGGAAGCCAACTCCATGACACATTTTGAATTTTTTTGAACAAGTAATGGTATTATAAATTTGGCACAGTTACGAGAATATGACATTGATATTGTATATTTTTTGATATATTTCAGGCTCAGAAGAATAGTATAAAGTATGATTGTGGACATATAGCTGATACATATACTGCATTATCTAGTCTAGTTATATTGGGTGATGATCTCAGTAAACTAAACAAACGGGCTATATCAGCTGGATTGAGAGCCTTACAACAAAAAGATGGCAGGTTTGTTGAACCTTATAGTTAACCTTGAATTTAAAAGGAAACTAGTGACATATTGTTATTAAAAAACTTGTGAATGAGTTTATACAAGATGGTGACTATGTGATCTGTTTCCATCAATATTTTACTTATAATTTAAGAACACAGTTTATCTATTTTGTTTGTTAGAGTCAAATAAGTTGCAAAATATTGTCACTGGAAAATTTTTCATCATCAATGTCACTCAGCACATGTCTTTAAATAAACATTCCGAACTTTTCTCGAAAGGTAAACATTAGAACAAGTTCTATTTGTCCAACTTCTGTAGGGACACAGGCTGAAAAGGTCAGGTTTTATGAAGTTTTCAGTGTGAAACTCTGTGTAAAAAAATGTTTCCAGTTCTTTTTTTTATTTCTTAGTTCAGCCAATTTTAACTAGAGTTATCTTTCTTTGAAGTCTAAATGCTATATTGTTTATTTGATTTTTCTGAGCATAGAATATGGATAAATAGTGTAACTAAAAGACATTATCTTTACAGTTTTTGTGCAGTACCTGAAGGCAGTGAGAATGATATGAGATTTGTATTTTGTGCTAGTTGTATATGTTATATATTAAATGATTGGAGTGGAATGGATATAGATAGAGCTGTAGAATATATCAAAAAGAGTGTGGTAGGTTTCCCTGTATTCCTCTGTAGAAATAGAACCTTTACACTTTACAATGAACATTGGTAGGCTTATAAAACAATATTATAACTGTCTTGCATTAAGTGAAAGATGCAAGCCAACATCATTGACCATCATATTAGAGTTCTGTTTTTCATGTGAAAAAGAAAAAAATCGCTCTTACTGTTTACTAAGTCACCCTATTTCATTGAAGAGGTACATACCAGACTTACTCAGATCAGGTTATTCTAGCATTAATTCATCCTGTAACAATCGTTTTGCATTGATTGAAACAAGGAAATTTTGAAATGGTCTTGTAAACGGTGTATAACGATGAGATCAACAAAATATAGAAATATATGCAGCTTCAGGAAGTGTTTTAAAATGGTATCTAATCTAAAGTTAATCACTTTTTGCTTTTCAGACTTATGAAGGCGCTATAGGTCAAGGTCCAGGTCTTGAAGCCCATGGTAGGTTAACATTTACTGTATAGCTTTTGTCAAATAGAAATATATACTATGCTTGATTGATAGTGGCAAACTAAGTAGGATACTTTCTGGTCTGACTGAATGTTTTGAAATTAATCCAGGCATAGAAAAGTTCAGCACCTTTAGATTTTGTCAGTCAATCAGGTTGGTAGTGCAGATATGGCAAAAGTGTTTAGGTGAAGTTAGACAAGCAGATTGCTTTTACATTTTCTCAATAGTTCCAAATCGAAAAGAGTGTAAAATAGCTCCTCTTTCATTGCATGTTGCAAATTTTTGTGCATTACATATTTTCAATAGCAAAGTGGAACATTGTTTTATTTCAATAAGGTTCATTGCTTTGTTATCAATTTTCAGGTGGTCCAACATTCTGTGCAATAGCATCTTTAACTTTAATGGGGAAATTACAATCAACATTCACACAGAAAGAATTAAAACGTTTAAAAAGATGGTGTATATTTCGTCAGTCATCAGGGTTTAATGGTAGACCAAATAAAGTAGTTGATACTTGTTATTCTTTCTGGGTTGGAGCTACATTAAAGGTAGATCTAATTTCTTTCCTTTTGTCATGAGTTCCTTCAGATAAATCTATGAATGTCAAAAAGTTTTAAATCTGCACAACCTACATAATTGACTTTATTAGTACATGTATTGGTATCTCATAATCCAAAGTTAGATTAATATTTTATTAGAACTTATTCAAGCTTCATTTTTGAGGCTCTGAAAGTGAGGTTGATTACTCAAATTACGTCATCTATTGATAAGATGGGGACATCATGTGAATGAATACATGTAGCCTATGTGACATCACTAAACACCCGATCGACAGTGAGAAAAATAGCTTAAATCTGCCCTTTCTCAGAAATGTGTGAAGGTAAAATTCATCTGAAAGTGTCATTAAGTAGCTTAATCAATTCCACTTTAATGATGTAAAATATTGTCAGTTTTGAGCTAGTGGGTTGGAGAAAGGTGCATTAAAGACTACAAGGTCACACTTATACTGCAGTGACTGGATCCAATATGGCCAATGTGTGAATAAGGTCTATAGGTAACATTAAAACTAATCTCCAATTTGATATATAAAAATATATAATGAATAATGATTTATGATAAAAACTTATATAGTTTTAAACTTAATACAATATCTATTTTAGATACTAGAAATATTTGAGTTGTCTGATGCAGAGTTTAATAGAGGATATATTTTAGAAACACAGTCAGATATAACTGGTGGATTTGCAAAGTGGCCTCAAACTTCTCCTGGTTCGTAATATTTTCTTACTCATAACAATTAAAATGGTCTTTTATAAGTCATTTTATTAATATATAGATATCAGGTTGTGATGTTCAAACTGATGATTAGGTCCTTGGTTACCAATAGGGCTGCAATGATTCTCAATATACTATACAATACTCACCAAACGATACAATTCATTGCGATAATTAGCACAATTCATTTATCAAAGAAGGAAAAAGAAAAAATAGACAAAATTTGTAAAATTACTAACAATCTTGTCACTATTAAGCACTTTTACCAACCTGTTAGACTGTTGCGTCCAGAGGCTCCCAGCAGTGCATTGTTGTAAACAGTTTTCAGTGTTTATCTTGGAATAATACTATTTAATATTGTCCAGGATCTACTCTCTCTGTGGTGTCTGCTTGTACCTCCAGGTTAAAAACATTGAATTAAAAAATTTACTTTGGGGACACCATAATTTATGTTGTTTATATTGTAGATGCACTCCATGCCTATTTTGGTATTTGTGGTTTATCATTATTGGGTGAACCTGGCCTTATTAAACTCCATCCAGCTTTAAATATTAGCCAGCGTGCCTCAGATCATCTTCAATACATACATCAACAATGGAAACAGAACTCTTGATTTAATCTCTATCAGAAAATAGCTGTGTTGGTAAAGGGAAGTGTCATCTCTACAAATATGGCTGTGTTTATACCAAAAATTGCTTTTGGTTACATGCACAGGCTCTAGAAAAAGTGAAAGTGTCTATTATCAGATAACTTGGTCTAAAACAGCTGGCATTTCTTATGTCAGGAGAGTGCAGAAAAGTAGGACGTAAAACTCCATTCATTTCATTTCATTTATATCAGGAAAGATCTGATGATTCTGGTATGAACACCACTTCAATCTACTGTGATTTATCGTATTGATATTGATAAGAGGTTTAACTTAAAGATTAAATTTTATTTATATTCCTTTCAACTCATTAAAAAGTTTTGAAATATTCATTAATTTTATAAACTTTCATTTTTTGATATATATGATTGACAAGGCCGTATCAAATCAATATAAAAACAAGACTCTTAAATTTGGTTGTCGTTACCAACGTAAGGCATTTGCCTCCGTTCCACTATGGCCTTGATTGAACATTTACATGAACAAGTTGGAAATATTAATGTATTTTTAAAAATTAAGGATATCTTTACCCAACCAATCGGTGGTTTGGGTAGCTTTTGAGTTCAATTTTGTAATGCAGCTCTTGATATGCATCATGGACAAAAATTTATATCGGTTTTTGCTCAGTAGTAGATCTGCTTCAGACCACATCTAGTTGTCATCTTATTCCTCATTAAGTGGAGTTACTTCCCTTGTTATGTAATAATCTTTCTTTAGCCTAAGCCACCTCATTGTTTATCAGTTTTCTTTTACCAAGCATTCTGCACCTGATGGTTATAGGCAGCTTTTTTTGGCTATCAGTGATTTATATGTTAACAGGGTACAGCCAAAAAGCATGTTAATATTTTGTTAGCATCAGAATTATCTGTTAAAGAGTATTATTATAAAATTTCAACTTTATTTGCTTGTATTTATGTTGTTTTAATGAAAGATATATATGTGATTTTGTTATTGGTTATTGTTAAAAGTGCCTACTTGTTATCTTAGTAAACTTTATATAAAGTACTTATTCTGAAGTCTATAATGATCATTGTAATATTGTATGCCTGCACAATGCATTGTATATATGGTAAATTACCATTCTCTTTCTTAAGATGTAAAACTTTTTTTGCTTATGAAGTTAATTGCAGCAAGACCTGCTAAATAGTTAAGGCCTAGAAGTAATTTGTAACTTATAAAGGCAGCCATTATTGAACAAGAACATTGTACTGTGAGACTTGTTATGAAATTAACAACTTAATGGCAATAATTATATCAAAACTAAGGGAATTTATAATTGATTGTAGATCCAAAACTTTTGAGTTTTGAATGTAGATATTTGCAAGGCATCAAAATGAAACGAAATGCTGGTTGGTGCTCTGATATCCTGGAATTAGTCTGTGATCAATATTGCATATGTCCATGATAATCATAGCCTTTCTGTGAATCTCATCTGTTCAATGAATTCTTGATCTTATTTCACTTCCTGTAAATTCTTAATTATCAATTTTTAAAAATTGAATAAATGTCATTATTTTTTGTAGAATTGTATTTGAATGGCTAATCTTCAAGTGAAGGTAATATGAAAACTCTGAATTGTCCACTTGATTGTTATCAGCTTCACTATAGATTTTGTGTTACTGGCAAGTTATGCTTATCTCATACAACTCGGACTAGACTTGACTTAGAGTGATATTCTAGTATAATATTGGGATAATACTCTCTCTGAAGTTATTATTGTCTACTTTGAACCCGATTTGTACAGAAAGTACATGTCATATGCATCTTGAATTGTTATAGAGACAATACCACATAAGCAATATCCAGAGACAGGCTTTTTTGATGTTTTAATAATAATACAATTTTGATGGAACTGTTTACTTGGTCAACTGTGATACACTACAACGCTCAGTTTATTTATATTATATACAGGAAGCAACACATTGATATAAATAATGGAGGGGAGAAATAGTGCACCAAGTGATTGGAGGGGTTGATTGTGACCAAATATTATACAATACAATACTATACAATAAAGAACTAGTAAAGTAATGCCAAGCTTATTCAACATTTAACAGCTTAATTAGTAAACAAATTTTTTCAAATTAGATTACACAGAGTCCTGGATTTTGAAATCCACCAATAACCAAATCTACTTTTAGAATCTTTAGTTAGGCTTGACATTAACTTAAGGGAATAAAGATGTCTAAATATTTGCTTTACCAGCTGATTGCGCTTAGTTACAGCTAAACTTAGGACTTCCCAGAATTAAAGACTGACCTTCATTTCTCACACAATTCAAACGAAACATACTATATCCCTTTAAATTGTAGGCTGAACACTTATTTCTCATCTTAAGACTCAAGAATATTGAGAAAGTAACAAATTTCTAAACTTCTACATAGTGGGTATTTTGTTTTAGATGGTGACAGATTTAATTCTTACTGCTACAGATAGCAAGATCAAGCACTATCAGCAGGTTATGCAAATATTTAAGCACCCATTTCATTTTCAAGATAAAACCAACTGAACCTTTATCTTCAAATAACCTATATGTTAAGTTGGTTGTACCTCTTTTGCAATTTATATTATTTCTATATATATTTACAAACAATTCAAGGCATTTCTGATTTCAACAATAAATTATCCCTGATATCTGCTCTAAGATAATCAAAAGTGTAATTTTTTGAAATAATGATCACACCTACCCTTTTTTCTCCCTTTTTTTACCTTAATTTAGTGATAATTTACTCAAGTAATTCTTTGTGAAAGACAGATGTGAATCAGGGTTTTTCAATATTTTCGAAATAATTTTTAGATTTTCAACATAATACATGATCAGAGGCTTTCAAAAAGATATTAGTCTCCAACATAACCGTTGTGTATAAATATCCTTTACTAATCATTTCAAACAATTCTCTAAGCTTATTTGTTTAAAATTCTACGATATTCTACCATGTTTTTACTGGTATATATTATAACATTCTTTGCAAATATTACAGTAGGCCTTGTCACTGTGTATTGAAATCCAATTAACTTTACAGAGAAATATAATATTTCATCAAATTGAATCGTTCTTTTCCATTAAGGGAAACTATATCACTAATTTAATCTTGACCACATAATTGTGCAATGCAGTACTCTCTTTTGCTAACCCAGAAAACATAAACAATACTGTTGAACTTATCATGGAATTTCTAACCATTGTCAATTACAATTAGAAATAATCATTGATTTTTGGTTTAGGTTAAGATTTCAGAAAAAATGTCATGACAGCTCTGCTTGAAACCACTACAATATCAAATAACAAGATAATGAATTTAAGATAAAAATGAAGAAAGACATAGTCATTTGTGATTTGAGAATTTAATCCTCAGCTGATAAGTTGCAAAATGTGTACATGCAAAAGGTCAAGACTTGCTTCCAGAATAATAGATTTTATAATGTCAGTAATCCTTTGACAACATCTTTGTACATCAAATGACATCACAGATTCAAGACAAGATTGATTATAAAGTTAGCTCATACCTCGAATTATTTTAACATGAATTAGTCCTTTTAAGTTGACCCAATTCTTAATTTCAGAAACATGTGGTTTTGGGATTAATTAACAATTTTAGATGTCAGTTGATGATTGAACTAGATTTTCTTGTTAATAATTGTGAAATCAGTTGCCTTGGTAACAAAGCAACAATATATCAGTAATACAATAGGTAGTCAAGAATTATTTTATATTTCCCAGACTTAAAGAAGAAAGCATTATTGTTTGACACAAATCCTCTGTTTTGAGATCATTAACTTTTCAAATTTCCATACACTTCACAATAGTTTTTTTGGTACTTTTTGGGTTAATTCAAAACAGTAATATTATTTGACGTCACATAAATTACACCTTTAGGCTAAAAACTGAAAAGTATCTCTTGACTTAGTGTTTTCATGTACTCAAGTTTTCTAAGATTTATTGAATTTTTGGCAAAAATGTTGTAGGCAGATAGCAGAACTTGTTTTTTTTTTTCTTCAAATTTTGGCATAATTATTTGTACTGAAAACTGTAACATAATGTCTATGTGAATTTTTATTAAAAATTGGGGGCAGACAACATTACTCATCAAACAAAACTGTCCAATTTTGATAAAATAAGAATCTGCATGGTAAATTAAAATTTATTAATTACATGATTAAAGAGTTTTCCACCCACTAAACTAAAGACAATAGTAAATATTGTTTAGGTAGGTATAGGATAGTAGATAGACTATATATCATTCTTCGTCTAACATTAATCATTACAAGAAGTCAAACCAAACATCGAATGTCACCTTATCCTTCAGGCCACTGACATAATTCACCAAAAAATATCAACCATAAATTATTTACCAGAACAATAATTTTGACTTGTGTGAGTGAATTTTGTTGTTTCCTTATAATTTGATTTATTGAAGATTACATGTTCTTCCACTTCCCAACCATTTAAATTTTAATATTATATTTTACAATCTAAGTTTGTGTTGCCTATCCGTCAACCATACGAACCCAAGTAGAACTTTCTATTGCAATACCTCTACTGTTAGAAGGGATAAGGAAATAGATCGGCCAACATCTAGATCATCCAGGTCTGGTTTAAGCCAGGCTTAAGTAATAATTGTTTAAACATCATGATATGAATATTATATAAAACATGATAAAGGATAGTGATGTGAATAATAACAATTAATCTTCTTACAATAATTTACTTTGGCAACAATTAAATTTCTACAGCTGCAAAAATATCATAAAACTCCATCAGTAATCTATATTACAAAACATAATCCATAATGAAATAATAATAATAATAATAATGATGCATGATGATCCAGTTTAAAACAAGAGAATAATGCACCAAAAATTAACAGAATACAATAAATTATTAACAATTAAAAACAAAAGAGACAATAAAACATGGCCATTTACCATCAACAAAACAAACTTGTGAAAATATCACCAAATTTAATACCCCTGCACTCTAAAATTAATATATCAAATTAAGTGGTTTCATGTATTTGCTTTGTTTAGAAGTACCAGAAAAATAATGGCATCACTTAATTCAAACTGGTATTTTACAAATGTTTCATTAATTTTGGCAATAAATCGTTCCATCTATCAAAAAGTTATTTCACATCTTTTGACCAAGTATCATTCAATTACAAAATGATTAATATACAAGGTTAGAAAATTAATAAGTTTGTTACAAAAATACACACTATACATAATCCATTGCAATTAATATAATATTTGTGTTAGAAAGGAGAGGGGGATGGGGTGATCATTTTATATACATTTCTTTACCAAAACTAGATTTATTATCTATATGTAACTAAGATTGTAAGTACATAAATAATTTCAATACCATAGCTTTTATAGCTTTTGAATAAAACAAGTTCTACATGATATGTTATACATGATGATATTGCCTGCCATTTTCTACCTTTTGTTGTCAAAACTTTATTTCTAATTCATATTCATTGGTGTCAAATGATAGCATTCCATTTAAATTTCATTACAAATTTTTAGGCCAATTTCTAGCAGCCATTTATCAATTTTAACAACTATTTTGAAATAAAATAAAATCAAATAATATTAAATTCTGTTACTCTAAAATATATATCTACATCTTTCATAAAATATAACACATTGCACACAGTCCATGACTAAATCCTGATAAAAATTCATTTTAAATAAAATCAATATAGCCAACTGCCGTCAAGATTTAAAGAATTCTGTATTTGTCATAAAAATAAAGTTATCTGCAAGCCTGTGATTTGTGAGAAAATGATCAATGAATATCATACAACAATAGCACTTAACATGACAGTGCTGTTCAATATATAATATATACAACCAACATGACATCAATGATTTTATATCATCTACAATTTAACAACAAAATACAATAATATATTGTGTAACTTGACATGTGATGTCATCAAAATATGTGCACATGTTATGATTGCTTAGTCAACAATAAATATGTTAAATATAGCACTGTGTCGATAACGTCAGCTTTGATGATATCAATTCACCAACCTTTTTTGGCAGCTATGTGTGACCTTTTACCCAATGTAAACCTTAACATTCTCGTTATCAAAGCACCAAAAACCAAGAAGCATTCAACAAAAAGGTCCAAAAACACTTTACACTTGTGCTCTAAGAAATTCTATATAGATTTCTTGATTAGCACTTTTTAGTCACATGATACAGGCCTTTTCATATATGTATATATATATTTACAATTAGGACCTGACACAAAAGGCATCTTGGATAGTGCCTCATAATCTCAATACCAAATATGGTAATGAATATCGAATAACAGTCCCAAAATTATAGAGCTGAGTCTAGGTCGTCCACGCCTCTATACGTGAACGTTTCATCAGAGGGCCATCATAATCTTGAAGATGATTATGTATATTAACCGGTGACGAGCTGTTACTGTGAGATATATGTCCCGGAGATAGGTGACCTGGGCCATTAGAAGGCGGGCGTAACATGTGATGACTAGATGGAGTAGTAGATTCTCTTGGTGGTGAAATAGGTTCGCTTTTGATATTCATAGCACTCATAGAATTTATCGCCATTGGTGACACATGTCCAGGGCTAATTCCATGAGTTATAGATCTGAAAAAGAAAATTACATATTCAATATATAATACTGCATATATAATTTAGATATTTCATAATAACCATGAACAACAAAGTATTGACTTCTATATTGGTTATTTTCTATATGTGGATTCAATACATTGGATAGTCCAAAAGTGTTGTGAGTCACAACAATCTTATCTAATGATTTGGGAATTTGTTAAGGGTGTGTCAATCTGTGAAAATATGACAGAAATATCATGGACAATATATAGGTGGTCTTACATCACACAGTCAATTATGGCAATCATCAGGAAAACCAAAAAAGGTATTTAAAGGGCAAAACATCATGTCAATACTGGTATATATATAATACAACTTCTCTCAAACCCAAGGGGAAATTGAGATCAGATTTCACAGGTCGTTGCCAAAAAAAAAACAGCCCTAGTTGTGACTAAGCTACCTTTAATCAAAACTTACCCAGAGTGTGGAGAGAGGCCACCAGGATGTCCAGGGCCTGACATCATACCTTGTCCTCCCCCTCCATTACTTGACCAATGATGGAAATTGCTATTACCATCAGCAGTACCCATTGGAAAGTTATCTGAAAAAATAACACTTAACCATTAAAACAATAAATTATTTAAGTCAGCAATTAAAATTCATCAAAGAATAAGCCTTATGATCTTGTGCAAGTTTTATTATCTCATAATAAGAAATGGAATGAAAGCCATTGTTTTTCAAGCTATAGGTTTCTAAGAATTTGTTTTAAGGATCAGGTTGACAAGTCCAATAGATTTAGAAATAATTAGAGATTACAAGAAGACTTGTTGACCTGATTATAGATTGTATCTATCCAACAAGGTCAGTTACGTCTTATCACATAAATAACACAAGTAGAAAATTGTGTGGGGAAATGAAGCGAAAGTAGTTGAGTTGTAATCAGAAGGATTTATCTGGTGACAGCCTATTGTATTAATCCACAATCAATAACTGGAGCTCGTTAAATCTCTCTCACTCAAACAGCGAGTATTGAGACTGTTTAAACCTCTCCCAGTCACTCTCCTGACTGATTAATGACAAGTCGACACGAACCACGGTCTAAATCAGATAATTATATACAAATTTATAACTATGTATATAATATTACGGATGCTTTCTCTGACATATTTACTTTCTGACCTTCGAGCCTCTTCTGAGGTGAATAAATTTAATATCAAGGCAACTCATGCCAGATTTAAAGATAATCATATTTCCAAATTTCTAAATGGTTATGGAACCCATTGAAACCCAGGTGTTATTTAAGGTTTACTTTAGCAGAAACCCAGGTCTACACCTTATTCAAATATAGAATTAGACTAAGCATTACCTTTAAACTATGTAGTTGAGTTTGAACTTCACTTAAAATTCATTGATTCCTTGAGAAGAATTTGGCATAGAAATTTTGTGTGGTATTTCATTTATTTAATCTTGTAGCAGACTGCCAGGACAATAGCTACAGGGACATATTCCAAAGTATCAAGATGACTAAGATTTGTCCAAATTTCTCACTTTTTTTTAATATTGATCATTTACAACAAAACATTAGCCATGGTACAACACTTTCTATATGCTCACGTAACATTCAAGCCAATATAACAGGCCAATCAAGTACACTCAATATTGAATTGTAACAACTTACTTTGTGGATATGAGGAGGGAAGAGCGGACGGAGGGTAGTTTGACATGCCAACAGTACTAGGAACCATAGAAACAACAGGGGGAGCTAATGTAGAATTCAATGATCGACCATGTCCCTACAAACAAGAACTTAAAAAGTAAATAACACAGAATAAAACTTTAATCAGTATTATGTGTTAGATTTCTGCTTTTATCTTCTTTAACAATATGATACAAGTTATGCAGACCTTTGATCATTTATAAAGACAGTTTATTTTCATCCAGATTAACCAGATCTTTGAGTAAGAGTAAAATATGGAAAGGACAGGAAATTCATGATTCAAATATTGTCCTTTTCTTAGGTCATAACAATTTGATCTGAGGGCTAAATCAGTTGTTGAACAAGCAAAGCTGTTTATTTTTTATTCCATTTTTCAACACCTCTTATTCCATACCACAATTTTCCAAAGAGCATATTTCATGGTGATAAAATATAACTAAATGGACTATACCATTGTTATTTTCATGTTTTTTAAATGAAAATGAAACGGAGAGTAAAACTTACATCTTGTAAATCATTTCGACTATTATTAGGAATCATAACACGTAAATTCTGATTAAGGTTTGGACTTGGTCTCATGCTGGGAGGGGTGGGAGCAGGCGAGGGCTTTGATAAACCTTTATGTGCCATGACGCCAGGTGAACTACATGGTGAAACTGTATGATGGTAACCATTGGGTGTTGGTGAATGACTCATGTCAACCATTCCACCTATAAAATAAAACAAATTTTAATTTCAATTTCTTCTCCTTATTGGGCTAATACAGAAAGACAAGACATGCAGCACGCTAAGATGGAAATTGATAGCAATATGAACAGGAATCTCTAATTTGCAGAAGACATGGCCTCTATTTATTTCCCAAATAACTTTAAATGCATTGAGAAAAGGTCAAATCAACATTGGTGGTCAAAATTGATGGCTGCGTTCATATCGCTAATGTACCTGTTGAGTTTGGTCTTGGACTAACACTTGGTGGGGCTGAAGGGGGGTGCAATAGACCTGGTGATCCAGACATAATATGATTTTGTGGATGCGGTGACATAAGACTCATCTGAGGCGGTGGATATCCAGTATTTGGTAGTCCCAATCCTCCAGGCATTCCTGCATTCTGGAAATGTTGCATTCCACCCTGAAATTGTAATAGAACATATAGTTTAAAGATCAGTTTGTAAAAATGGCATCTCTGAATAACAATGGAAAATAAAAACAAGTCCTCAGTTCTAATCTATCTAGATATTTTACAGCCCTAATTTAATATAGCTTTGGCTTGAAACGTAAAAAAGCTCTTAGTTTAAACAAAGAAAGCAGCTTGGCAGGTGTCACGACTAATGAGGTAAAAAGAAATGTTTTGACGTAGATTAGAGAGAAAGCTTGTACGTTGTGAACGTTGTGATGACGTACAATTTCTCACAACATTACATAAATATAGTAGAAACATGATTCAAGTAGAATAGGTTAATTGTTAAAACAAATATTGAATGATTCTGTAGGAAACGATTAGAAATCATCTATATATAGCTGAGGACACTGGTATTAAAGGAAAACTACGTTGACACACATTATATATGGTAACAATCAATAATATTGAATATTGTGTTATACTTGAGCAATAATGACGTATTAACTTGTACGTAAATTGAAAAAAATTCTAAAAAATCAGATACATCGAGATAACATGATTTTAGATGACAGGAAAGTACTGATTATATTTGTCAATTTCTTCCTGAGAAAATCACATTTCAACCTAAGTCATCAGACCTTTTTATTAGAACTTACAGACTATAATATTAATGATATCAAGAGAAAATCAAATAACTTTTTTTTATTTCCTGATCATTTCGTGGTTAATAGTTTGAGAGTATTAGAGGAGATAAGTTCTATAACGTGTGGGTGTCAACAAATCACATTTCAAATTACAATTGATTTTTAATAAACTTATAATCTAGAGAAACATGTCATGTTTATAATGTACACTAAGAAAACAATAGTACTTTTAGTTGAGTTGAAAAACAATCCCTGAACAATGATTGACTATTTACATGCACTGTACATCATCTCTATAGGATAGGATAAGTTGGTTAACACATTTGAGACCATAAGATCATACAGCTTAGAATCAAAATGGAATGGAATTGACATAGGTTGGTTTGTTGGCCTGACATAATCTTATTTCTAACAATCATCAGAACCTAAACAATCCCTTGATTTCTGAATAAGTCAAGAGATGTACATGTATGTCAAAAGTCTTAGGTGCTCATATTCTTACCCTCATTTGATTTAGTTGAGTATGTTGCATAACTCTCTGATATTCATCATTAATTCTATCATATTTCTCATCACCTCTCATACCATGAACATAGGGATCAGTATCTATTGGTTCTGGACTATCACAACCTTTATGTTCTTTCTTGTTCAGGTGCTGAAAATATATAATCAAATATTCTATCAATATCAAACCATAATCTAAACCAATGTTGAATTAATATCTGTGTCAGAGGATTTCTTTGTCCTGGATAATATTTCCAATAATAATAAGTAATAGTCAAGAATATGGCAGTAATAGTAAAGAATATGGCAGTAATAGTAAAGAATGTGGTGGTAAAAGTAAGGGATATGGCAGTAATAGTAAAGAATGTGGTGGTAAAAGTAGGGGCTATGGCAGTAATAGTAAAGAATGTGGTGGTAAAAGTAAGGGATATGGCATGGATAGAAGGGAATAAGGCAGATATGGGGATATGGTAGAAATAGAAAGGGATATGACAGTAAAATTGAGAGATATGGTAGTAATAGTAAAGTAATTGTATATAATATAAATAGTAAAGTAAATTAATGGACATGACAGAGTAAGTAAGGGAGTGAAAGTAATGATTATGGCAGAATAGTACGAAGATATCTGTATTTGTATTGGTATTATTTCACCTTAGAAATCACTTCAATCAAAATAAAAAACCACACATATATTCTTAATCTAGTATATTACATTGTAATTTCATAATTAAAGCCACAGTCCTTATAATAATTAAGAAAATATGCTAGATAATATGTGTACACATAATAGAAATGATTGTGTATGACTTGAAGATTGTAGGAAGAGATAAGGATCATTTCAGTACACTTAAGACCATCAGGTCATTGACTTATTTTAGATAAGGACAAGCCAGATAGTTCATTTTAAGAAAACTGAAAAGAATATTTTATCAACTCTTTTTAAACCATATGTAACATTTAAATTGTAAAAATGAAGTAGAGTAGCGTTGAAATTCTCTCTTCAATGTACATTATAATTCCCTGCTCACTGGGTCAAATCATTCAACGCATTGCCCTCAAAATACTAGATCAACATTTTGACTCATGTGGTAGTTATTTTCGGCATCTTGGCAAGCTATTAATAGACTACACAGCACAACCTTGACTATTTTTGGTAATGGATCAATTTTCTTATCACTGTAACCCAGATTTTATAATGTTTTGTTTAGACCAATATATACACTACTAGATGTATGAATGTTTCCCTCCAGACAACAGACATGAGTGTTATAATATCAATAATACTTATATATCTTTAAATATAATACTAACACATAATACAAAATAGAAACTGTAGAACATCAGACATGAAAAAATTTATGAACTTTCTTGAAAAAAGTCAATTCAAGTTTTTGGCGTATATAGTATTCTAATTATCTTAACTACGATTCAAGAGTATCATGCTAGCTTTATCATGATAGATTACAACTTCTATTTTGCTAAAAGGACATGTGAAAAAGTACTGAATTTTGATTGACCTAATTTATACTACAACAGGTTAATTTGAAATACCAATGAATATTTTTGCATTATTTATCTTTATTATTTAATTTAAAATGTAGATTAATTCCAGTTTCACTAGTTATATCAAGTGTATTCGGTCTGTTGGTTATATTGTAAAAAGATATAGTCAAAATGAAAAAAATTGTCGACATATATATGAAAGGGATTGTAAAGAGGTTTTCTTAACATTGTATGTGTAAAGTGTGCACTGAAAAGGGATTGCACAGATCCTTATATATCAATTGCAGCTTATTGCAACAGTGAACATCATAAAACGCTTACTTTTAGTTGAATTGCAAGAGCCACAGACATCTGACTGAAATTTAAAATGGTGCAAATTGATGATATCAGTGTCCTAGTTTAGAAAACCTCTTTACAATCCTTACAAACAGTTCAAAAGTAGACGGAGAGTACATTCTGTAAACTTTGAAAGAAATATGTCTGAGGTAGCAGAAATACTGAAATCTCCTTGCAATCATTCTTATTTTGTTTTATATTCTTTGTTAATGGCACTTAAAATAAAAAGTTTAGTTAGGTTACTTCCAAGTGCTATATTGTAGTGTAATAAACTATGTCAGTTATAAACAGTAAGATTTAAGATAGAATATATCTATTATTACCTATATCTAAATCTATCTACTACAATCTAATTTTATATACTATGGAATGTAATAGTTGCTATTTTTGATTATTTACCTTCTATTTACAGTTTAATTAGAAAACAACCATTTTACAAACAAATCATTTTAACTTGAACCATATACAACAGGAAATACTGAATATCTTAACATCTTACTACTAAATACTTTCAAATCGTGTGGTTATTTGACAGTTAATCATCTTAAAACAAATATAACATGCATATAACCTGAATAAAGGCTGCATATATCAGCATCTTTGGCTATGCTATTTAGATTTTTGTAGACTAATTTATTTGTTAGAGCCATTTTTTTTTAACTTAAGTATGAATTTCTCAATTTTAAACTAATTTAAATATTTTAAACATGATCAAGTGAATTGAAATGAGTAGCCCTTATGATATGTCAAAATGTGAACATATAACATGTCAATAATTAATATGAATATATACTTTATACATGACAAATGAGATCAATATAATATATACTCAAGAGTACTTTTTACAAATAAAAATGACAAAAAAAGCTTATTAACTTAAAACAATGATAGATTGACCTATAAACCTTAATTGATTATAAAAAATCAATCATTACTAAGTTGTGACACACCTTAGAAAATATCATGTAGAGTAGATGTGTATAATTATTTACTGATATATATGTTTATAGTTTTAGGTCAGTTTTATATTTCAAGGCTATAATAAATCATCAATCACATATTCTTGAAATTAGTCCAAAGAAACGGCCATCAACGGCCATCGACAAATTCTATCCTACCTGTTACTGTATTGATCTTGTCAAAAATGATTTACATTAACCACCATGTTCAAAATTTTGCAACTATTGTTTGAAAAAATAAAAAGAATTTTCTTTAGACAACCAATACTAATGGAATATCTGCTGACAAATAACATATGGTAACCCAATTGTGCACTTTTCCTCTAATTTGATCAACAAGGCAGCTCTTAATGTAAGAAATGTTATAGTTTTATTTTCCAAAACTTAACTACAGATCATAAACAAGAGTCATTATTGAATTTTTAAAAATTTCATGTAGGGATATAAAGTATACAGATAAATCAAATTTCTAGTATAATATATCAACTATCTAAGTTGGAACTTGTTGATCTGCATACTAATGAAGATTCATCATGAAAAATTTCTTAAAGCTAGAAACAACCTTGGCTTTCTATAAATTATTGACTATAATTACATAGAATTAGTCCACAAAATAATGGCTGTTATGATCCTGGATTTAGTGGCCTTCTAAGAAATTTCATTATCTTAAACAGATATCAATTTTAGAGACCAAAATATATGACTGGTGCTTTACAAATTTTAAACAAACCAAAAATGATCAAATGTTTTTAACTATTAAACTATTGCATATCAAATCTAATTCTAAAACCCTCAACAAGATATGATAATTCATATTTATCAATATAATACACTTGAATTCTTTTAATATATTTCTTGAGTGAAATACACTAGATATATTGTTTTTCATTAAAATAAGATTATATTACATACTGATCATATACAAGTTAATCATGCTTAGAAAATACTTCAAATGATTTTATGACCTAATTCATAGTGAGATGAAGTTTACTCATGCCCTAAGTTTATACTATAATTTATATCTTTTATCATTATAAATTGTTGCTTAGAATAAATACTGGAATTGGAAAGACAGTAGATAATTTCAGCCAGTGCGAAACCTATATTACAAATATGTTTCTTTATTTTCTTAAGTTTACTTCATTCACACCATGATCATAATATTCTTCTTCTGGTAAAGTTTGACCCAAACACGCAATAGGTAAAATAATTCCAAGTGAATGAAACTTGGCGTTGAAAATTGGTATGTGTCTATTGTAGATGTTTGCTTAGAGTTGATGGAATATCATGCTTTTCAATCCATTTTAGTTACACAAAGCCAAAATTTCAAGATGAAATATGTCTCAGACAAGGTTTCTTCCTTCAACAGAAATGCGGAAGTAACGATTGATTTTGTGTAAAAGTCTCAGTGTTTTTTAAGTGTTTAATAAATGTAATGGTAGATGAAGTGTAAAATGTTGACTGTCTACAGGAAGTGATTCCATTACACCAAGTCAAGTCAGTAACATTTAGATAGTCTTCTTATTCTTTACAAGACACAGAATCCATTATCATTAGACAGTTTACTTTCTGATCGCATGATGCCAGTTCCAATCTGTCACTCTTCAACATGACGACTTAAATAACATGTTATTTTATTTGAGACATTTGTCTGATTAGACCATTAGATATATCTTTTGGAGATTTGTGATTTTTGTGGTTATAATATGTTCAGGTTATGTGTATACATGCTTGTATGTCTATCATGGGTGTGTCTTTATGAACTACATGAATCTAATTTGTTTCATTTACAATAGTTTCCTTCAACTTCAACCATTAAATATTTTATGCATTTATAGCCAACATAATTCTTCAATCACAGTGAAATGACCTTATAGTTTTTCAAAAGATAGCTTGCGTTGCAAGGTAACATACGCCCACTGGCAGATGTCAGAAAAAATAAAACAGTCTTTAGTGACTAAAGTACGAATTTTCTCATATTGAAGAAATTATTCATGCTGAATAATTCTACAAAATTTTCTAAAATCAATATCAATAACCCAAATACAACAAACAATTAAATCACACAGCTCTAATCAAGGGCAAAAAACAACTTTTGACGCGTGTTTACAAAGTCAAGGGCAATAACTCAAAAAATGTTCATCAAAAATATCTCTTGTTAGAACTTGTCCGAGATCTTATCAATTCCAATGATCACACCAAGTTTCATCAGAATCGGTTGAAAACTGTAGCTTCAATCCTGCTCACGAACTATTTTTAACAAATTTCGAAGCGTTTTAACAAAGT